TATCTATCTGTCTGTCTATCTATCTGTCTAATGTTGATTATCTATCTATCTGTCTGTCTAATGTTGAATGTCTATCTATCTATGAAATATCATGATATTCTCTGAAGTGCTGTGGAGTACTATGCAAATACCATGGAATATGCTAATCATACGGGACAGATTTTTAAAAATATTTTCCAAATCATTAGAAAGAAGAAAAAGCCTAAAACAAGTTGTACGTCAATGCGACATTATTACTTGCACTTAAGTACTTAATCCTAATTTCCACAACTCCTTAAATATGACTTATTTGCATGCATGTGTTTGTAATGCAGCACTGATAAAGGCTGTTGTTGTGTTTTTTAACAGAGATCGGGATGGGGCTGACGGGCTTCGGCGTGTTTTTCCTCTTCTTCGGAATGATTCTTTTCTTTGATAAAGCGCTCTTGGCCATTGGAAATGTGAGTGTTTGCTTTAACACAAAAACACAGTTGTTTGAATGGAATAAAATATACTGTGAACGCTCAGATTTGTGTTGTGTTAGGACATTAAAATGCTGCTTGAACTGAATGTGTTTTTGTGTTTGCAGATCTTGTTTGTGGCAGGTCTCTCATTTGTTATCGGACTGGAACGGACGTTCAAGTTCTTCTTCCAGCGGCATAAAATGAAAGCCACCGGTTTCTTTCTGGGAGGTGTTTTCGTGGTGCTCATCGGATGGCCGATTGTAGGCGTCGTCCTCGAAGTCTATGGATTTTTTCTCCTTTTCCGGTGAGTTGTTTTGTTTTATCACAAAATAAACCTTGGCAAGATGTTTAGGGTGGTTTTGCATTACCATAAAGGGGTTTATTTTGTTTAAAGCTACAATAAGCAACTTTTCCCCAAAATTAATTGTGCCATATCCACAAGTAGCTTGAAACCACAACAAATGAACCTGGAAGCGGCAAGCAAACAAGCAAAAACGGAAAGTGAAGCACCCGTAATAAAACACGAATCAACATAGTTTGCATATCATCATAATTTTGACTTAGGAAGTTATAGTTTCTGCTGTTATTTGATATGAGTAGCAATCATTGACTAGTATCGGCATTATTGCAAAACTTTTTTTAACGCTATTTTAAAACAATTGATTTCAACAAGTCAAAGCAACAACCACATATAAACTACCTGCCTGCTCATATAAGACATGTTTTTCAGATATGTCTTTCGTTATTGGTAGAGTTTGGATGTTGTTAGTAACACTCGGACTGATTAGGCCATTCAATTCTTCAGGTATCCACCTTATTTGTAGCGTATTTGTAACTTGAATGTGCGAGACTTCCGGTGTCATTCGCGTCCAGTCCTTCTAGTTATTTACCTAGCAGCTAATGAAACGGAAATCTCGCACATTTACTGAAAATAGCGGAGTCAAGGCACAACTCTCATATTAACCAAAATGTTCCTCCGCAAGTAACTTGCAGTTCTTCGCTTCAACCACTAGAGGGACAAGAGTTACATAGTGAAGCTGTAAAGGGTTCATATAATGCTACATGCACTTTTACAAGTTGTTTGAACTGCAGTGTGTGTACACAACCACCCTATAATGATAAAAATCCACCCAGTGGTTTTTTAAAAATCTCGTTAAATCTTTACCCCTTTCTCAAATCAAGCCGATCTCAGCCCCTCCCACGATAGTT